ATCGATAAGAAATCTTCGTTTTTGAATAACAAAACAATGAAAACAAGATTCAGTAGTGCAGTTCCTAACATTGCTGAATAAACAAGACGAAACCAAGCAGTTAATAACGAAAGATTTTCATTGACTCGTTTGAGAAAAACATGAAGTGACCAAGCTGCTAATAAATCACAAATAAGAATAACAAGAAAACTGAAGATACCAAGACGAAATAACGTCTGAGAAGATTTCATATTGTTTATTGTTAATTTTATATCATCAAGTACAGTGAAGTTATTAAGAACGCAACTACAAGCAAATCCAGCAGCAATTGCCATTGTTACAATGGAAAATCCGGCAATTAGTGCCGCTGTACGTTGTGGAATATCATTCATTTTGTTTTTTTGTTATCTAAAAATAGAAATTTATGAAGATTAAACTTCATAAATGCAAAGATTTATTAAACAAAGTTAGATCTCAAATTTTGATATTATCAAATCATTAATTGGAATACTTTTGCGTTTATCATCTTAAATGAAGTATGAATATAAACGAGAAATGCAGTTGATTTATTTTCATCAGAAAGAATGCAATCACAGGTGAAAGTAAGTATGAGTAAATCAATTCTTATATGTGGTTCGTTGTGTCGAAACAACCAATCGAATTTTCCTTTCAAATAGAAAGAAAAATTCCTTTAATTTTGAAAGCACATCTTTTTATATATCATTCTCAGATTTATATCAAAGGTACAGATAATTAGAGAAACTCCGATGAAATAATTTATATTCAAAAAAAGTCTTGCAACCGATTCATGGAGATTTTATACTAATAGCATTTCATTGGGGAAAAAGTGCCTTTACTGAAGGCAATCTTGATGACACTACAGATGGGATAAAGATATTTATGGACAACTAATCGAAGCTTATTATAATCATGATAGACTATTTAAGAAGTGGATAAAACTAATCTTTCCTGACAATTTGAGTTGAGTCTTTTCTCTTCAGGCTTCTTTACATCTTAAGATAGAAGCTAAACTTAAAATAGATGTTTGTTCCCAATCATAGGTGAAACAAGGAGCATTTCTTCATATTTTCTAGTCCGGTAAGAACAAATTTGCAGTACAATGGATGATGGAAACAGAGTGTAGAATTGATCGACAAAATACCAAAAAGTTTTGGAATATAATCAGCTTTGTATCGTAAATAACCATGACAAGAAAGAGATGACATCTATGTGAGAGAAATGTTGCCAAAATACTCATTTAATTCCTTCCAAAAATCGACAAGATATTTTCATGTTTTTTTTACATCGAAGCAATGGAAATAAGATTCAGTAACACAGTTTCTGACAAGTGGCTAACATATGCGAAAGAAAAACAATGAGAAAAGTGAAAATATCAATATTAGTTAATATCTCTACATGCTGTGAAATATCGTTATTATATTTTGGTTATCTATAAATAGAAAGTTATGAAGAACAAGAGTAGTGGTTTATGTTCTGTTAGATTTGAAAAAAGAAGAGGATTTTCAAAGGAAATTCGATTCAAACTTCATACGAGAGCGTGAAATTCAACGTTTCTTCAATGTTTGAATATTTTTAGTTGAGATACACCGATTACTCACATTAAATGAAAAATGAACAAAGAACGGATAATTCATTCGGTTTATTTTTATTGAAAAGACGATGAAGAAGCGGAAAAAATGGGTGGACGGGTTGTTTTTCATCGATATGTGTAATTCGTCATGTACCTAAGGAAACTATTTGCTTTGTATTTCTTTCAACATTCAGAAGATTTACGTCGACGAGATTGGATTTTCACGAAATTTCTGGAAAAAATAAGCTCGCAATTCATGGTTATACAAAAACAAATCAATAATATTGGTTACAAAACCTATCGCTGGTAAGAATTGAAGAATATGATATGCAAGATATGTAATACCAGTTCCATTCCAATTGATTACTGCAATGATGTAAATCGGTACCCAACTACAGAAGAATATACTGAACATAAATATCATATGTTTTAACAATCGAATATCTCGTTGACTGATAATCAAACTTGTTCCATTCACTTCATTGTGCGCTGAATAAATACGTTGTGTGGAACGACGAACATGAAGGAAAATACTGATGTTAGTTATTGACAAGAAGATCGATGGTAAACAAGCAGCGATGAATAAAACATAGAGTTGTTGATAAATTTCAAGACCAGAGATAAGACAATGCTAAAATACATATTACATAATCATTCATGTTTCATTTCTCTTGACTTACTTTAAGACTGGATGTAAAGGTTGGTAATGAGATTAAGATCGCAATGATCCATTGAACAACAATACACATTAGGATCCATTTCGTAGTACGAAATAAAACTGTTGTGTGATAAACAATCGCCAATAGTCGATTCAATGAAGCAATACATGTACTATAAATACTCAGACAGTTTACAGCTGCTTGCAAATACAATATCCATAAACAAGATTTTTTGGTCCATAAGATATTGTCAAACCATGTTGATATTACCAAATAGATTCCCCAAAACATAGTACAAATAAATAGAGTCAGACTGACGTTCACACTGAGAAGGTTAAGAGGAGTTCGAAGTTTACGATGAAAACATATTGGTATTGTATAGATGAGCGTTCCTATGGACACTAAACCAAGAATTATAACTTTGATGCAGACTAAAATCTCTATAACTTGTGCGTCGTTCATTAGAAATTCTTTGAAGAACTCGGCTTTTTCACATACATTTATATAGAATTACAAAGTATTCAAATTTATAATATTTTAATTAAAAATTAAAGATCTTGTTATTTTGATGGTTAAGACATAAAATCCCTTTCAGCAATTTCCCGAGTGTTTTTTTTTTATTTAGTTCTCGCATGAAAATACAAATTGATTCAATGTGAGGTACTTTATAGTCATGTTTTGCAAAAAAGTACAAATCTACTTGTTATTTTTCATTCTTATTAAATAAACGTTAATAAGATTAGGAAGATTCTGCAAATTAAGAGAATGGAAACACCTAATCTTCCGTTTTACAAATTCTCTGTCGTCGAGAAGAGTCTGTATAACCGAAAGAATTCTACAAAAAAGAAACACTTGACCATAACGGTTCGAATGATTTGATATTTGCACTTAGTGACATCTGCTTATCGATTTCTCATCAGTTCTCTTCATTATGAAAAATAAACAAAATCATTTGGAAAAAATCTTTGAAAATAGTGAGATTTTTCAAATATGAAAATAACAATTTATTCCATTGGTTTGATATGATCAGCTATCAATAAGAGTGAAATAACCTCCTACATACAACGTCGCGTAATCTTCTTCTCATTGTTCGTATTCATATTTGATTTCAATCTGATCGCTCGATTCAATCCTGCATATAATTACGATTCTAAATGGCTGCAACTCCTGAAATAAGTCTTTCGGCAGCGGTGGCTGGTGAATTAGGCCAACCAAAACCACGTTGGATGCCTTTAGAAGGAAATCCTGAGGTATGTTCACCGGAAGTTTTGGTTGTTTTTCTTTCGAATATTCATTTGTTTAGGTTTTAAACAAATATTTGAAAAATTTGGGTGTTAAAAATGATGATTATGAATTTGTTGAGATCATTGGCTTTGATGAAGATCTTCTTGCATTTGTTCCTCAACCAGTCTCAGCTGTTCTTTTAATATTTCCAATAACTGAAGCCGTACGATTCGATTTTTTGACAAAATTTCATCTTAAAATCATTGATTTTTAGCACGAACAACATCGAATGAAAGAATTCGAAGAAGCAGCTCATTCAGCACCCGATTGTTCTCAAGCAATCTATTTCCTAAGACAAACAATTGGCAATGCATGTGGCTCAATTGCAGTAATTCACGCCATTGCCAATAATCTCGAAAAATTCCAACTTGATTGTAAAATTTTCTTGAGAAGAGTCTTCAAATCATCTTGAATTTCCTTTTAGCTCATAAACCATTAGCACACTTCATGGAAACCACGAAACTAATGACACCCGAACAACGCGCTGAACATTTAAAACATGCAATGGACATGGCAACAGCCAATGACACAATCGCTGAAGAAGGAGAATCAAGAGTAAAAACTTTTCTATCCAAAACCATCGAATTCATAATGTTTTTTTAGGTTATCGATCGAGAAGAACACGTTAATCTTCATTTCGTATGTTTTGTCAGTGTTAATAATGAACTTTATGAATTAGATGGTCGACATCCTCATCCTATAAAACATTCCGTAAATTTACAACAAGGACAAGCACTTGATTTATTACGCGTAAGGAATCTTTGTTTTTCTTCATTTACATAATTGATTGATGAATGTTTAGAGTACAAAAGATGTGATTTTGAAATTGATTGAAAATGCTGGTGGAGATATTCGATTTTCGATGATGGCATTGGCAAAAACAGCGTAGAACAAGCGTTGTCTTATCTTTTTCTTGAATATTTTTTTATTTTTTGATCGCATTCGATTTATAATTGACCTCTGCGCATTTCATCGAATGGATATTTTTCATCGAAACATGTCAAAGAAAAATAAATAACATTGAAAACGCCAAATATCAACAATTTTTTATTATTTTTTCCTCGTTCACCGTATTCGTACTTTTCTTCATTAAAAAAAAACATGTGTTCTCCATCAATTCTCATTACATAGTCATATCAATAAGATTAGATCGAATCCGTTGAATTTCTTTTTACTTACTTAATGTAAAAAGACAGTGACTGAAAAACACGACAAATATTTCCTTTTTTAATGTGAATTCTGACAAAAGAAGCAGTTAAAAGACTGACATTGTCTGCTTTATTTACTCATTGATTCTTTTCTTCATGACTTCTCAAAGAAAGAATTTTTTTCACTACTTTTAACATCTTGAGCCCATTAAGATGAAATGTAGGCGTAAGAAAAATGAAAAAAGAAAATTGTTGTCTTTGTAAAAACGCTTACATTTCGATTTCATTCGACAATCAAAGCAACATTCGCTTGTAAACATTGCTAAGCAAAAGTACACTATGTTACATCCAGATAAGACGACATTTCTTGTCATATGGCCCAAGTGTTTTACGACCTTTTTGGGTGTTATCGAATTTATTGCATTTGTCATGTTCATCCTAACCGAACTTTGTAGTGTTGCAGCGAATTTTTGGGTAACAAATGTCTTCGCTGGTGGATGGTGTGGACTAATCGTTCTTATCCATGCGATCTTTTTATTTATCGCTGGTAAATCGATTGAAAAGAATTTGTCTTTTGTTAATTTTCTTCTTTAGGACTTTGTTCTCCCGGTCCATCATCTGCCTTTCGAGCAGCTCTTCTTACAATACTTATGTTTATTGCCTGTGGTGCATTAATAGCTTTTGATATCGCATTTATCGTTCAACCTTCTACATGTATATTAACTTCATCGTGTTCTGATAATGCGTATTCTTCATCGGTGTTTAGTTACAGTTTTCGTAGTTCGTTTTTCTCTGTATTTAATAGTTGGGATCCATTTAAGACATATACGCAAAATCAAGTGAAACTTCTTTGTCAAGCGATTCAGTTGGGTTTAGCTGGTCTTTGTATTATTGTTGGAATTGTTTATTTAGTTATCTATTTCGAATGTTTGAGAAGATTAAAGAAACATCAACAACTTGGAAATAGTTCTTCTCCAAATCCTCAAAATTATAATTCAATCAATGCGAATAGTGTATCACCACTTCCCAATGGACCACGAAGTGCATTAACACCACCTCCAGTTACACCAGGACAAATTTTTCCATCTTCAATTCAACAACCAGTCTATATGGTTCCTCCACCTCCTCAACAACTTTACGTAACTCCAACTTCAGTTAATCCAACTCAAACAATTTATTATCATCCACCTCCACCAGCTGTTCAACCGATCTATTATCCTCCTCCTCCACCACCACCTGCTGCAATTCCGATTGCTCCACAACCTCAAATATATCGAGCTTCAGCTCCGTTTTCTGCTCAAGCTCAATCGACTGTGAGACCTTGGTATGCACACAAGAATTATTAAAGTCATTTTTCTTGAACATAAAAGTTTTTTTTTCTTTTTGAAACTTTGATTTCCTGTTCTGTTTTTTCAATATGAACATCAAAGATTTCATTAATCATCACGTTTTCTCTCTTGCATTTTGAGCTTTTACAAAGCAAACAAACATTTTAGATTATTCTGCTTCATTCACAATGTTATAATAACAAAACAAATCTTTCCTTTTATTCAATCATTTTTCAAGGTTCAAGAACAAGAGTTAAACATTTGTTCGATTGTCGTTGTTCTCCTATATCATATCAAGTGATACATAAATGATTTTCTCTTAACAAATGATCACCAATAAAATCATTTCAAAGAACAATTCGCTGAAAGACGAAAGATTCTTGAGATACAGTCGATGAAAATCAAGGTTTTCTCATCAGAAAGAAATTCATTGACACGAAAGAAAAGTTTTATTTTTCTCTGCCTGCAACTTTTTTTTTTCAACTTTCAATTTGTTAAAAAATGATTTAAGTAAAATTTCGAGATGAATATTCATTAATGTATTTCGATATTGATCAATACGATGGTTTGTACAGTTGATGTTACATAATCAGAAAGTAACATTTTCTCTTCTCCTTGAATAAACTGTTCACGCACGAATGACTTTTTTCTCTTCTCATCGCCTTGTATGTTCATTTTGACTGAATGAACGAATCAAACAATCATGGAAGACGATTTACCATTGAAACTTATTGAATTATCTGATTTTCTTCGTTCACCATCGATACTTTCGAAAAGACTTTCGTTCAAAGAAACAAAACTTCAAGAAATTTTACCTTCGAATAAAGTTGAACAAGACAAAAAAGGCAAAGAAAATCCACCCGGAATCATTTTATTAACCCAAAAAGCCATTTCGAATGAAGTTAATCAGCCAATTCAAAAGGAACTAATTGTGTCAAACGATGTCATCATCTTTGCCGATGATGTCGATCGCAAAAAACTCGGAATTTTACAAAAATCCAATCACTTTTTTTCCAGGTGAACTCACCACTCTTTTCCGCCTTGAATAAAAACAACGCAACTCATTTGTTCTCTTTAGACATTTGTTAATAACATCCGGAGCGGCACTTCAAGCATTAATTTCTCCATTAACTAATGCTAAAGAATGGATTATTGTCTGTAAATTAAAGTATTCTAAACTTTACACAAAACAGCCATCAATTCATGGTGATTGGAAAGTTCTGAATGATTTGTTTTGAAATTTAATTTGTTTAGGAACTGTGATTATTTCATTGAATGTAACTCATCCATTAGTTCGATATGAACTCCTCACTGCTTTGGATTTATTACAACAAACATTCAATGAGGTTAAATCCGCGTACATTGTGGTTAGTTTTCTCGTTTTACGATAAGAAAAACTTCATTCGTGAATTCAGATCGATTTTTCTCAAATTTTAACTCGATGGTTTAAAACGTATCTTCGACGAACTGATCAATATCCTTCGCTATCTCATCGTCTGTTATATCGATATCAATTCCAACCATGGAAATGTTCAATCACTCTCGGCAAAAGACAAATTCAACACGAAAATGATCATCATCATTTCGGAATGAGTATACAAAAAATAGTAAAGAAAATAACTTATCGATATGAAAATTCCTTTTCAAAGGAGTTTCATTGGAAATTTTGAATTTAGATATACAAATCGGATATTCCAATGCGGATTTACATCAATTTCAATACCCTGCCAACGAATGTTTATTCTATCGAATTGAACAATGTTTTCATCTATTCAATGAGTTGGTCATTTGCTTTCTTTTGCTTTTCAAAATTTCTCTTTCGATTTCTTTCAGACAATGATCACAAACAAATGATCAAAGATATGGGAAATGGATTATCATTAGTTTCTATTCAAGATCTCAACGTTTCAAAAGATCAACAAATTGAGAAAAAAGAAGAAAAACCTCCCAAACAACAACAAAAAGAGGAGACAAATTCAGTTCTGTCGACTTATGAGCCTAATGAACAAGAACGAATGTTATTTGAAAAACTCTGGGATAATCGAATCAGAATTCAAATGCAACATCAACAATTAATGATGAAAGCAACACGATTTATTTGTTTTCCTTCGACAAATGACGACATCAAAAGTAATAACAAACCCAATCAACAAATGATCAAATGTATCCCGTATTAAACATTTTCTTTTTCATTCAGAGGAAAAAAAACGATGGAGAGAGAATTTTCTCATTGTCATCGCTTGATATTTGCTCAGAGAAACTATCCTAAATAGATTGTTGAACGTGTCAGACATTTGATCATTCTGTAACAATACAACACAACGTTTTTGATGACAATTCATACGAAATGAGGTTTATCGGGTATTTTACTCTTATCGGACAAATTCAAGTTCAATTGAATTTGTTCAATATCGATAATCATCCAGATAAGTTTTGTCTTTTACATTATATACGTGAAGATATTTTTATGGATACAACTGAGTATGTACTTTCACATCAAATCATTCCGTATTGTCTTCGATCATCTGAAGGAAATATTCCAGATCTGAATTTGGATTATATCAATAACGATGATCCCGCTTTGACTTTTCTGCAATTAAAAGAGCAAAATATAACGAGTGAACAACTACTTTCTTGGTCAATTTCGATTGATTTAGCTGAGCGTTATGAAATGTTTTTAAATGACATTTCTAATTCATCAATCGATCGAGAAATGTTATTCTATAATTGTACATTTCCATCATTCGGACCTCTTTGTCGTTTCATCATCGAAAGAGATGACAAAGCATCTTTTGATGACATTGTTGAATTGCACTTTGGAAGCAAATCTGAAACGAGAGAATCAAGTAACACAACATGTTATGTGCATCTCAAATGTGAAACATCATCGGTATGTTTGGACTGGCGTGAGATTTGTGATAAAAAAATCCATTGTATCGATGGATCGGACGAAATTGATTGTTGGCAACTTGAATTAAACGAATGTACAGTAGACGAATATCGTTGCCATAATGGACAATGTATTCCAAAAGAATTTTTTCACGATGTTATAATCAATCCCGATTGTTTAGATCAAAGCGATGAAGGTTTTCTCGATCGAACCTCGGATTGCTTTGTGAACCCGTTGTTTCGTTGTGAAGAACATACGTGTCAACCAGGAAGAGAAGATTTCCCATGTGGTGATGGACAGTGTACAGTTGGGATATATGGACAACGTGGATGTAAGAATGGTCGCGATAGGTTTTCCGCCACAGATCGTTGTTCACTTGCCACAGCGTGTCTTATGCGCATTTACACTGACTTTGTTGACAAATGGTGCGATGAATTTTGTCCAAATAATGATTGTGTTACGAGAGATTGTTCGGCATTGTATGAATTTTCCTATGGTCCTATTTTTGCTGAATACGCACGATTCTTGTTCGTGAATAAAGACTGGCAAATTGGACCGTATAATATTCTTCTACCGCATTACATTTGCTACAATGAGATGCGTTTACCAAATTTTCGTCCAGCTAAAGAATATTTGAACAATACGAATTGTCGCCGTTTAGATGTTAAAGAAGTCGATGAATACTGGCACAATTCACCGATGACTTTCCCAGAAAGTCTTCGACATTTATTTCGTGCATACTTCGTTGGATTGAATGAAACACATCATTGCAATCATTTGACAATGTATCAATGTAAAAACTCGATCAAATGCATTTCAGTACATCGTCTGCGTGATGGAATTCAAGATTGTCCTTTGAATGATGATGAGACATTCAATCGGAGTTGCTCGCTTGTCGATGCTCATCGTCGCTTTGCTTGTTTAGTTAATGGAAGCAAAGTTTGTTTTGCACCATTTGCTATTGATAATACATTCTCTGATTGTACCGGAGGAGAAGATGAATTTAACGAGAATGAAGAGTTGTTACAAAAGCAGATCTATTTCCAAAAACTTTGCGATGGAATTGAAGAATTAGTACCCGTTCTAATCGATGACAATTATGAAACCGATGAAACAAATTGTAATAGTTGGTTATGTAATAATACATACACACGATGTGATCGGTTTTGGTCATGTAAAAATGGAGCTGATGAAGTGAATTGTCCACCTTCGACTTGTCCTATTTTCCAACATCGATGTGTCTTTCCTAATGATACATCAAAAATATCCTGTTTACCAATCTCTCAAGCAGATGATGGAATTATTGACTGTCTTGGTGCGTCAGATGAACCAAGTCATTGTCGATCAGTTGATTCAGTTCCCTCGAGATTTCGTTTCAGTTGTTCAAATTATTCAGATTGTCTGGTAGAAACCGATCTTTGTAACAATTACACCGATTGTCCGTTCCATGATGACGAAGTATTCTGCACGACATATGACTTATATACATATCATATATGTCATCCTAGTCAAGGTTCAATGCAAACAGATGTTGAAAATTTTCTTTGCAGTCTCATCGATCCGTTCGAGTCATTGGAAAATCGACTCATCTTCTTTCAATTAAAAAATATACCAACTTATCTTGTAGAAATAACTACAGATATTGAGCTCTTCGAATTGCCAAATCCAACAGAAATACCATCGATTCGAAGGACACCGACAATCAAAACAGAAGCTAATCAAGACTGGTATTGTAATCGCGGAATTCCTTTACAAATCCGGATGACAAATGAAACAAACGAATTACATTGTCTTTGTCCACCGAGTTATTACGGAAGTCAATGTCAATATCAAAATCAACGAGTTAGCCTGACAATTCAAATACGCGCAACATCCGACTGGAATCATTTATTCACATTTCTAATTCTCTTAATCGATAACGAAGGAAATATTGAATCACACGATTTTATTGAATATTTACCNGAACATAATAAGATGAATACTTCGAAGAAAGATTAGATTCATATAATTTAATAAATGATTGTTCATTTAACCAAAATTCTTGTAAACAGATGAGATGAAGTTGAAGAGATTGAAGGAGATTGATAATTGCCAAATGTCGAGTTCGCCACATTGATTTATATGAACTTTCACGATCACTTTCCGATGTCAAACGTTTATAACATGGTGCAAGGACATTGAATGTACAAATAGAGAAAGTATTTAATGCCATTCTTAAAACACACAATCGATATACTTTCTAGAAATGAAGAAATAAATTCAGTTTTTAATTGAAATTCATTATTCAATGGACGACGGAAAGCATATGAAGTCATGTTATCCTAAATAAAATAAGAATAACGCAACTAACTTATACGTCAAGAGTTAGACATATATAAACATTTTCGAACTAATGAATAGTATATCATTATGAGAGAAGTTTCCATGTGATTAAATAATAGAAAATTAGTTATCGGTGAAAAGTCATTGTATTGAAGGAAAAGTGAAATAAATTCATTTGGTAATTTTGTGTCCATTTACAATGTATGTGACGAGACTATTGGCGTATTTCTTAACGAGAGAAGAGTAGTATTAGCTACAATAGCAACGGATACTAGTTTTGAATTTTCATTAGCTAACAATGATACCGATATCATTGATTTGTGTTCACTTTTGAACGATAAAAACTACTAAACAAAAATAGATATCATTCTCATCATTTCAGCGAGATTTTCTTGCAAAAAAGATAGATCACATTGTTAAATGAATGGTGAAATGTCATAATTAGTTGTGAAGTCCATTCTAGGACAATGCGTTCTTACGATGAGAGAAAAATCAACACTAGTTGTCGCTCTTTTTTAACTTCTAAAACTAAAACCAATTTATAAGAAATTCCAGATGAAAAAACAACGTCCTCTTGTTCCTTATAATCAAGAAGAAATATAACCAATATGTCTATGTGGTCAAACAGTTGAATCATCTTTAGAATGTGGACGTGTTTATAATCATAATCCACTTTTCAATTAATAAAGTCTTCCTAGTTTTGTTGGTTCTTGTGGAAGATGAATAAACAACAAAGTATTTCTGCCTATTTTCAACCAATAAAATTATAGTAGTTAGTGGCAAGTCAAATGACTACTGTATGTTAATGTCCCGTAACGACATCTGATGCAGAAGCTACTTACTGTTTATTCGACATATACGAGCAGCGAACATTTTCTTTATAAGTTGCCATTGTTTTCGTGTTATGTCGATTTATGTAATAATCTTAATGTTTTGGAATTTGGATACAAACGAAAATCCTATTTCCGCGCGACGAATTGAAGAAGCTGTTGCATTAGTGCGAATATGTAATGAAAATGCAATTGATTTAATCAACAGTGAGCAGAAGGAAATGATCGAAATGTTGATGAAAGTAATGTTATATTGTGTTGAACAGAATGATCATTTCCGCAAAAGACAATGTGTACAGAAGGCTAGACAAAGATTTTGCTACAGAACTCTTGCTCACTAATCAATTTGCGATCTTCAATTCTAATAACCTGATGTAAAATATCCAATTTACAAATTGAGAGAGTTGTATTCGATTACATTTGTTTTCTTTTTGTCAATTGAAATTTATTGTTTGATGAATGAAGTAAATCGCATGGAATTAACTTATCTCAAACAAGAAAAAAGAAAGAATACAAACAAAAACTCTTATGTCTACCAGCCCAGAAAAGAACGAACAACAAGTATATTCTATTCGTATTTTGCTCCTTTTGTTCTTTTGTGAATGTATTTAAATAGTAAGAAAAAAGACAAGACGCCAATGCATATTTTGCAATAAAGTTAAGTGCATTTGCATAAATATTTCAAGTTAATCAATGATATATCATCGTCCGAAACGTTTCCATGCAATTTTACAACTCCATCTTGATTATCTACTGAAAGTAAATCACCTGATGCACCTTTGCTGTCACCACCGATCACATAAATCTATTTATGAGAAAGGAAAACATGGAATTGAGCTAAAGCAATTGACGGATTTAACTCACTTTGTCGTTTTCTTTGGGCGTTACTGGTTCCATGTAATGAAGAGGAACAACAACACGTAGATCTTGTTGAGGAAAATGTACAGTACAGATACCATTCTGAAAGAAATTGTTTGATTCTTGTTTAAATTGATCGAGACAACTCACTGATAAACTTTGAATGATTCCAATCATTCCCACATGAAGGGATTCATCTTCAATGGGAATTTTTATGCGCACATGCAAACCTTCAGCATGCCAATCATTATTGGACATCGAATCGAAATCTATTCGGAAAAGCGATGAGAAAGGAAAAGAAATTGTTCGAGTAACTAACCAAGTGATGTTGACATGGGTGCATATTGTGCACTTGGCGTCACAGGTGCAATGTTTATTGCAGTAGGATAAGCATAGCTGCCAGCTGGAGATTGATCGGGTAGACCACTACCGTGTGAGGATGAAAAACCACCACTTGCTGCACCTGGCGTTGGAATATGTGAATTATAAACTAAATCAATAAAGTCAATGGAATTTTGAAAACCGTTTTATTGGAAAAATTCCTACGTTGATAGTCCATCGGCATTGCTGGTGAAGGTGTTGGATGATTCGAATAAGGTGAATAAGCACTTGCTGAAGCATTTGAAGAAATGCTATTTGGTCCACCAGTTGAACCAAGTAATGAATTAACACCTAATGAATTTGATGACGAAGAATTTGACATTGACGACGAATTCGTTGTATTTGAACCTCCGAGACCACTAGATAATGTATCAGATAGATGACTGAAAGATGGAGTTGTTGGATTTAATGTAGCAAATGATGGGTCATCATCGTCATAATCAACTCTAAAAGAACATTCTTTATTTACAAATTTCAATAAAAACATCGTAACACATACCGAGGTGTAGTGGCGTAATTAGGATCCCATGCTGATGCTCCACCATGTGCGTGTGGTGTCATTGATCCATCATGACGAGGTGTCTAAAAGTAGATGATTACATTACTCTGGTTCAATTGAAAGTCTATACAAAGAGACGAACCATATTTCCGTAGTGAGGTGTTCGTGATCCATCATGCATTGGTGTTTGATTTCCATGCATTGGTGTACGTGAACCTAATCCATAGGATGGCGTTTGTGAACCATGAAGTGGAGTTGTGAAATAATGAGACATTTCTCCGGGTTGTCGAGAAACATTCCTAAAAGTAGCAGTTTTCTCATTTTTCAACAAAGAACCCGATGAATGAACAAACATACGTTGTTAAAACAATACGATTCCTATCGACTGTAATAGTTTGACATTTCGAATGTAGTTCAACTTTACATGTAGACTCAGTTGCATCTTTAACAATACCATAATAACCTTTATACGGCCCTTGAGAGATTTTAACTGTTTCGCCAATTAATCCTGTGTCACGACGAACATTAGCCGATGATGAAAACGGTGCTTTCGTCGGTCCACTCGTAGAATTTGGCGTACGACCACCCGTTGATGCTGGACTATTTTGATGAACAGATGATCCACCACCGCCTACTGACGATGACCGATGTGGCGCTGGTGTTGCGCTTGTTCTTGGTGACATATAAGGAGCATTGATTGGCATTGAAGGTGTTGTAACTTTCGCCGTTCCACCTGCTATTAACAAATTTCTCGCTTTGGCCACAAACATTCCTCCATTTTCATTAAATGTTTTCGTATGTATAAAAACAAAATGTCGATAAATATGTTTGATTTGTCCTTGTTTATTATTATTTGGTCCCTCGACAACATTGACTATATCACCAATATTTAGATTATTATTTTGTGAATCTAACGCAGTTGCATTTCGATTGACTCTTCTCTTTGTCACTGATTGAATTGGTTGTTTAACAACTTTGCCATCCATACTTAAAATGTGTAAATTTTCTTTATCCATTCGAACGACGACGCCGACTTTATCAGCTGATATGTTCACTAGATCTTTTAATTGAAATTGTCCACTTGCATCCACTCCAGTCGCTGTTTCTTTGCAAATTTGAAGATCCGACGTTCGAACAGACATTTCTTCTTTCGTTCCATCATTCAAAACAATTGCAATCGTACCATCCATACCCACTATCATACCAGTTTCACCTTCAAAAGTTCCGCTTAACACTTTCACATGATTTCCGACAGAGAAATATTTTCGTAGTTCATGTGCTTTGAATGGAATTTCGTCTTTTAAAGCTTCGTGCTTTGGTAAAATTCGAATCGAATCGCCATCGATACCAACGATTGTACCTTGTAAATTGACTAATTCACCTTCACAAACTTCCACTTGATCACCCGCAGCAAATGATAGAACATCATTTTTCGATGTTTTAGATCTGTTGATTGCAACTAAAAAGATTCGAATTTCAAAAAAATGCTTTCCGAAAGATTCTTTATCGTTACCATTGGTTTCCGGTCCGTCAATTGTTTCTTCGAATTTATCTAATTCAGACATAGTTGGAGTGATTCCATCAGCTGACTAAATCAAATCGAGATGAAGGAAGAATTGTCTTTGAAATTACTTACGACAGCGCTGAGTGGGAAAACTTTGATGAGAAATCCTTTCTCATCATATTTTCCGCCTTCAAATGATCGATATTCATATTCTCTTTTGATTTGTCCACCAATCGCTCTAAAAATTCTTAAATAAAACACAATTTTTTCCCTTCAAAATTCTTACTCGATCGCCGTTTCATCGAACAATTTCGCCGGTGGTTTTTTAAAAGCGAATCGATTCTTTTTCTTGAAAGGTTGATTCGATTCCGGAACAATTCCACTTGGATCATTACTGCTTCCTCGTGGTCCTCCGCGTTTTCTTGTAAGATCAATTCGTGGAATCAATTTCAATGTCACCGTGTTTTGTGCCATATCACATTGTTCGACTTTTGCTAAGTCATCTCGATAAATTCCACGTTTCACTCGAACCCACGAGCCTTTTTTGATTCCACAAGTTGTCTTCACCACACGTAGAATGTCCGTCATGCCTTTGATCGGAACC